AAAAAAGGATAAGGAGAGATGGTAGACGTTTTAATGAATTTATTATGTATTTTTTATAATTTTAGGGAGTTAAAGTAGAACTAAAATGTGATAATGGAGAGGGCAGAGTAACAAAAAATGAAAAACTGATCATAGAGTTGAAAAAGACTTTCACGATTTAATGGAAAAATCCCCATTAATTAAATAATAACCTATAATTATATATAGATACTAGTATTCGACCTTGTGCATTTGCACAGATGTAGATAAAATTAAATATTATAAGTTATTTGTAAGCATATAATATTAAAATTATAAGTTAAATAATAGAATTATATTTCAAACATATAGTATTAAATTTTAAAATTTGATCATTGGTTAAAATAAATAATACATACTATTTGATTGCATACGAATCACTATATTAATTGCATACATAGTAAAAACTTATATTTTTTTGTAATTTGAATGATCATGACCAATTAATTAGCTGAAAAAATTAAATTTATTATAACAATTACTTATATGAGTTTAAGAAATTTTATTGTGACATAAAAGAAATTAATTTATTTAAAAAACAATCGCTTAATAATATAAAAAAATATAAAATAGATTTCAGTGTAAAATAATTTTTATGTAACTTTCATATATCATTTACTGTAAAATATAAATACTAATTTTAATATTAACTATTATATGATTCCATAAAACTATTATATGATTCACTAAGAAATATAATTATTACTCAATTAACATAAAATATAATGATTTTTGTCTTAATTAACCCAAAAATGTAATGAAATATTTTTTTATTAATGAGATTGGTGTATTAATGCCACATAAATAAAATTTATTAGGTTCTATTTATTATGTTTTATTAATGATTTGCCACATAAGTAAAATTTATTAGGTTTTATTTATTAGATAAAATTTATTGCTTAGCTAGCAATTATATATATATAGATATAGATTGCACATGTGATCATGAAAAATGTGAGTAATGATCAAATTCCAAGCTCAACATATATTTATTACCTCACATTATCGTCACTTTGAATTTTGTCGTCTTACGTTGCTCGCGACTTTGCCTTTTTCCTCGGACGATTTTTATGCTAATCACGATTATTACGTCTTCAGTTAATGTTATAGGCCTCGACTACGCGTGCCCTCTCCCTCCTGCATTCTCCTGCTTTTTTCATCTCTGCTCAGACTTATCCGATTAGGGATTTCAGTTCTTTAATCTTCTCCATTTCGACCTTATTCGGATCGGGTATTCTTCTCTGACCTCATATATGCTTCAAATTTGATCAATTCTCTTAGATCTGTGTGCCTAATTGCAATATTACGATCCTCTCGAGTGCTTGTCATGTTAGCATTTATCTTGCTTTAAATTCAATTATTTTGTTTTATATTTTTTTTTTCGATAATTGAACTGTGGGTCTGTGTGGCGTGTGGTTCTATTTTCATTTTTTTTTTTTGGTTGAATTCATTCAATATTACTTTTATCTCCTCTCTTTCTCTGAGAAAATTTGCTCAAGAATTCCTTAATTCTCGTGAGTTGAGTTTCAGATCCTTGTTTTAACCACGTTGTATTAATTTGATGTCCATGGATAAACCTTGTTTGATCTCTTTCTCCTTTTACGATAAACCTTGTTTGATCTCTTTCTCCTTTTACTGGTTATGCTAGAGAAAATAATAATTTGCAAATTTTTTAGGTAACGGTTAGTGCTTTTTCACCTTTCGTATAGGATTTCTCAAATTGTTTCTCACGGGTTTCAGTCTCATTGCGCTTGTGCTTTTGGATATATCAATAGCCAAAATATCCTGTGATTTTATTGCATGTGGATCTAGTTTAATGGCTATATGCCCTTTACCATCAACAATTTTTTTGGAACGTCAGTCTGACGCTGCTTGATCTCTGCAATATGTGAAAGGTTAAAAATTAAGAATTGCTTGTATTTTACTTCTATTGAATAAAAAAAAAAAAAATGTTTGTTTTTCTCTATGATTTGGTGTCACTAGAAATACTTACAATTCGCCCTTCCGATACATTAACTCTGCCTTTTCTTGGTCATTTGCATGCGAATTTGTTTAACTAAGTATTTATTTGATGTATGTGAGATCCTATTTTTGGCTGGTTATTGATATTTGCATGCAAAATTTGTCCTCTCTGAGTAGGTCTGAGCACTCAAATTAAGTTTGAGAAACAGCGTGGTCACTGATCAGATTTGCTGCATCAACCAAGTTTCATGTCTGATCTTGATATCCAAACTCCTATTACATTTGGTATGCTTATTATCATCAGCCCTTTGTTTTATGGATAGGTTGCTCTGTTTTTGGTCTTTTTTTTTTATCTTTTTTTCTCCTAATGAAATTCCAGGGATCTGAAAAGGACCCATCACATTTGAGTTGTTCAAATTACATGAACCCCTTTGAGGTCTTGATCTTATATCATGTTTTCCATCAAATTTTGGCTGACCTGACATTTCTGGACTTTGCTAAGCAATACAAATAGCCGAAATATTAACGAATGGTTTCTGTTCTGCAAGCGATCTATAATTTTGAATATTCTTGTGTTTTTCGTAATCACTTCAAACTCAGAATCTGTTTTCCAATTGGACCTTGATTCGTTTGTTGAAGAATGGAATTTAGTGGATAAAAGCTTTTTAGATGCATACAAGTATTATATAAAGAAATTAGAGAGAAAAAACTTGTATTACTCATTGGCCTAATTAGGCTCTGAGACTTTAGTATCCCTTCTCATTTTTATTGGAACTGATAAGAGCTGAGTGTTTTTTACCATGTAATTTGTAGATCCTTTTGCTGATGCAAATGCTGAGAATTCTGGGGCTGGGTCAAAGGAATACGTTCATATCCGCATACAGCAACGTAATGGTCGGAAGAGCCTGACAACTGTGCAAGGTCTCAAGAAAGAGTTCAGCTATAACAAAATCTTGAAGGATCTTAAGAAAGAATTTTGCTGCAATGGAACTGTTGTCCAGGATCCTGAACTAGGCCAGGTTTGTTTTAACCCCAATTTTCTTTTTCCTTCTCTTTCCTCTGTTTATGTCTTGCATTAGAATAACATACATTTTTATTTTATTTTTGTGTACAGGTTATTCAACTGCAAGGCGATCAGCGAAAGAATGTTTCTACTTTCCTTGTTCAGGTGATTACTTCAGTTCTCTTACATAATGACTTGTCCTTACATGACATACCAACTCAGAAGTGACTCAGATTGTATTATCATGTGGGGAAGTATGCATTAAGGCAAAAAGTAATAGAGAATGGGATTTATCTTGTGTTCAGTTTCATGCATATGAGAATTTCATTCTTGGACATCCATTAATGTAATCAATGGTTTTGAAAAACAGGCTGGGATTGTGAAGAAGGAGCATATCAAGATTCATGGTTTCTGAGGTGTTTCAGCTAATATTTATCAGTGGATCCATAAAGCTTGCATCAGTGTGAACTTACTATGATAATGCGAAGTTATTTTATATAAAGTTAATTGTGCGCCTTAAGATCATCTGAAACTTGTAATATGTCTTGGTTTCATTTCCAAGCATCATGTGGGATGTTGAATGGATAATTGGATATTAATAGTTAATGGATATAAATAATCACGACATTCTCTATTTGTGTGCCGTATATCAACCTTTTGGCGTGCTCATTTTCCATGTTAAGCTCCTAGAGATGTGGATGGATTACGGGGAAGCTGCAACATCTAGTTTTAGGTGTAGTGAATGTCGGTACTACAAACGTCACTGGTTTATTTATCTGTCATTACCTCTCTAAATAAATTTCAGTGTCCGTAGTATGTTAATACTGCACTGTAAGAAATATCATCCTGTAATGTCTGTCAAATTTAAAAACTGTAATTGGATTGCTGCAATTTTGTCATAGGTGTCAGTTTTTCAATTTGGCCAGTTGCTCTAAAGATAATACTTGATGTGTTATCCCCTCTTTGAATGCATAACTCATCGTGGCCATTTTGCAATTCCATCCACATTAGCAACACAACCTCTTTGAGCTAAGTGGATGTAATCGCGCGAGTTAAAAAACAAAATCAACATAGCTTACAACTTTAACGCTTCAGAGCCTTAATAGAAGGCAAACTCAACATAGCTTACATTTTCATACACTTCATACCTGTTAATAATATGTGGGGGCTAAAGTAGGTTAGAAAACCTTTTTGCCCATTCATACCACATAGCAGTCCCTAGTCAGTCATCCTACCGGTTCTCTTTCGTTTTTAAATTAATTTGCTCCTCAGAGACCTACAAAATATGTCGGGGGTGTTCCCGGCGTAAAATCCCCGACGATTATGTCAGTAAAGGGCTATAGAAAGTTGTATGTAAAGTGTAAGTAATGATATTGTAAAGTTTAGAGTTTGTATAGTGCCATTCACCCCAACCTTTCATACCTCTTGTCTATTTATATTGAATCCTTGGCTTCTTGAACAAGCTTTGCCCTACCCAATTGCCTGAAGGCCTACCCAATTACCTGGACTGCCCGTGGACCTGCCCGACGGTTATTTGGCTACCCCTAAGACTGCCCTAGATCTTTTTCGTATAATCCTACACGTGTCGCATATCAACAGGTCCCCATATCATTTATCTATAGGTTTCTTGCTCTCTTAACTTCCATAAGTCCTCTAGACCAAGTCTCCATAAGTCGGCTTATACTAAATAGGTTCCCCGACCTACTGAACATAAGTTCTACCCATTCTGTCCTAGTTGTTACACCGTTCGACCTATTGAGATACTGACACCACGCTATCTGAGCTACTATATGTCCGAGCTACCATGCGTCCGAGCTATCACATGTTCGAGCTACTGACATGCTATGTTGTCTGAGCCACCAGGATACTAATACCTTACTGTTCGAGCTACCAAGGACCTGCTCACCCGAGCTAACTGAGTTTTGAGCTACTTGGGACTAATTAACTCAAGCTGGTTGTAGTTGGTTTACCCGAGCTACACTATGTGCTATATCTGTTAAACGGGGGCAAAACGAGTGCGGTCCCATACAGGTGAAACGCATCATAAGAGAGTGAGCCCAAATGAAGCCCAAGTGAGGTTCCATCCGGGGGAAAAACGAGTGCGGTCCCATACAGGTGAAACGCACCATAAGAGAGTGAGCCCAAATGAAGCCCAAGTGAGGTTCCATCCCAAAACCAATTGGTGATGGGAGGAGTAGTCTACTAGACTTATAAACTAAGCTCATTTACCCTATCAAATCAATGTGGGACCAATCACAAGTGATATTCCAACATGCCCTCTCACTTGTGAGTCCTTCATTAGCCCACGCTTCCAACTAGGCCAGGTACAATTTTTCAGCCCACGCCTACAACCAGGCCGGGTACTTTTTTTTTTTTTTTATTT